AATTCTAGTGAGTCTTTTTATATTTCTTCAACTTTTAATATTTGGAACCACAATGGTGCGGATAGTTGGGGGGTGGTGCGTATGTGTTGCCGGCCGTACCCTAATCATTCATAAGTCATATTTAGATCAATATACCATTAAATTTTTTTCATGGACTTTCTATTTTTTTCTTCTAACACCTTCTCCAGCCAACCACCGGTAGCTGCTACTACAGGTGCAGGACGGGCCAACGAGATCAACAGACCATTGGCCATCTGGAATTTGGTTCATGTTCGAGCTCCTGGACGGTGTTGCACAGCACGAAATCTACACGTACTCAATCGCATCCTCACTCATTTCAACGCAACCAAAGTCGCTAAAGTGGCTGTTGCGTTTAGAATGAGCAGCAGAAGCATGGGCATCAGCGCGGCACATCTGAATCAAACCAGCTAGTAATCCCTGCAAGAGCAGTCCGCACCTCGTGGCTTGTATTGGCTCCCGCCACGCTCTTCTGTGGCTTCCTTTTACTTGATCGACGCTTCTTTTACACACATCTCCCTCATCATTATTCTGCACCATTTTTTCTGAAAGTTAATTACTGAAATGGTCCCTTGATTATAATGAAATTATTAATTTGGTCCCGAGTTAATGGATGTCTAACGACAAAACAAACGGAGGACCAAATTGGTTAAAATTATTAAATTTGAGGGACTTAATTGGTCAAGAAAAATAGTCAAAGACCAAATTGGTAATTTCGATATTGTCAATGAATCATTCTGATAATTAGCTCTAATATATACTCCCTCCGTCCCGAATTGGTTGTCTCATTTTCTTTTTGCACGCTTTTTAAGGAATTAAAGTAAATGCTATGTATTTTCCAATTATGCCCTTCACTTTTTCACTTTTGGAAATAAAAGCAAAAGTGATAAGGGTAATTTGGGAAAAAGTAAAATGATGGTGATGTTCAATTTTAGAAAGAGGACAACATTTTGGGACAAACAAAAAAGGAAAGTAAGACATGCAAAATGGGACAGAGGGAGTATTTCACTAGATTTTTTGTGATAATTGTACAATATATAGTCTTTAATTTAGTGTTTTTCATCTACAAGGAAATTTTTTTATTACAAGTAAATTATACAACTAAAAGAATGATAACTCCATGTGTACTAATATTGTCACATGTGACATATTTTGGTTAAGTTCTATATTTCTCATAACATATACTCCTCTCTAAACTCGATTGAAGTGAACCTATAAATCAATAAAATATTTTTTTTTTGAGTAAAAGACATTTTTTGTCCTAGTCTTATAGTGGCTTGGACAATTTTAGTCCTTTATAAAAAAAAATATGCCATTTTATGGACAGAGTTATTGTGGCGAGGACATTTTTGGTCCTCCGTCTATATTTCGAGGACATTTTTGGTCCTCCGTCTATTTAGGCTATCTCCTTCTATCTATTATAGACGAAGGATCAAAAATGTCCTCGCCACAATAACTCTGTCCATAAAATGGCAAATTTTTTTTAAAAAGAACTAAAATTTTCCAAGCCACTATAAATTTAAGACTAAAAATGTCTTTTACTCTTTTTTTTTTTTAAATAAGTAAAATAACTGTATACAATTTATGTATGTGATAATTCATAAATAAATTCATAGAACTCAGCAACATTGAACACACAAATACACATAGCTAGTGGTCACGATTTGTTTTTATTCTCCAACTAAATTAGGACATAATTAATGTATAGGGGTGACAAATTAATTTGGTTTCTTGTTTTAATTTGATTATAATTGCCCCACAATAATTTCCATAATTATAGGAATTATAATCCTGGTAGGTCTAAAAAAAAAAAAAAAAAAAAAAAAAAAAAAAAAAAAACACTGATATCTATCGCAGACAAGAAATGATGGTCGTATCAGAGAACGCAACAATGTAAGACACAAATTCTGGTGAGTCTTTTTATATTTCTCCAACTTTTAATATTTGGAACGACAATGGTGCGGATAGTTGGGGGTGGTGCGTATGTGTTGCCGGCCGTACCCTAATCTTTCATAAGTGATAATTAGATCCATGAACCTTTAAATTTTTTTTCACCTAGAATTTTTTACAGGTTACATATAATCTATGATGTCGTGGACTTTTTATTTTTTTCTCCTAACACATTTTCCAGCCAACCACCGGTAGTTGCTACTACAGGTGCAAGAGAGACCAACGAGACCAACAGACCATTGGCCATCCGAAATTTGGTTCATGTTCGAGCTCCAGGACGGTGTTGCACCGCACGAAATCTGCACGTACTCGATCGCATCCTCACTCACTTCAATGCAACCAAAGTCGCCAAAGTGGCCGTTGAGTTTAGAATGAGCAGCAGAAGCATGGGCATCAGCGCGGCACATCTGAATTAAACCAGCTAGTAATCCCTGCAAGAGCAGTCCGCACCTCGTGGCTTGCTTTAGCCCCCGCCACGCTCTTCTGTGGCTTCCTTCTACTTAATCAACGCTACTTTTCCACACACCTCCCTCATCATTTTTTCTGCACCATTTTTCTGAAAGTTAATTACTGAAATGGTCCCGTGATTATAATGAAATTAGTAATTTGGTCCCGAGTTAACGGATGTCTAACGGCAAAACAAACGGAGGACCAAATTGGTTAATATTTTTAAAGTTGAGGGACTTAATTGGTCAAGAAAAATAGTCAAGGACCAAATTGGTAATTTCGCTATAGTCAATGGATCATTTCGATAATTAACTCTAATATATTTTTCACTAGATTTTTTGTGATAGTTGTACAATATATAGTCTTTAATTTAGTGTTTTTCATCTATAAGGAAATTTTTTTATTACAAGTAAATTATACAAATAAAGTGAATATAAAAGAATAATAACTCCATGTGTACTAATATTGTCACATGTGACATATTTTGATTAAGTTCTATATTTCTCATACCATATACTCCTCTCTAAACTCGATTGTAGTGAACCTATAAATCAATAAAATATTCTTTAAAAAAATTATTAAAATAATAGTATACAATTTATGTGTGTGATAATTCATAAATAAATTCATGGAACTCTGCAACATTAGACACACACATACACATAACTAGTGGTCACGATTTATTTTTATTCTCCAATTAAATTAGGACATAATTAATGTATAGGGGTGACATAGTAATTCGATTTCTTGTTTTAATTTGATTATAACTGCCCCAAAATAATTTCCATAATTATAGGAATAATAACCATGGTAGTTCTCCAAAAAAAAAAAAAGCAAAAATACTAATTTCAATCGCAGACAAGAAATGATGACCGTATCGGAGAACGCAACAATGTAAGACAAATTCTGGTGAGTCTTTTTATATTTCTCAAACTTTTAATATTTGGAACGACAATGTCACAATGGTGCGGATAGTTGGGGTGTGGTGCGTATGTGTTGCCGGCCGTACCCTAATCTTTCCTAAGTGATATTTAGATCCATGAACCATTAAAAAATTTCACCTAGAATTTTTTTCAGGTTACATGTATTCTATGCTGTCATGGACTTTTTATTTTTTTCTTCTAACGCCTTCTCCAGCCAACCACCGGTAGCTGCTACTACAGGTACAGGAGGGGACAACGAGATCAACAGACCATTGGCCATCTGGAATTTGGTTCATGTTCGAGCTCCTGGACGGTGTTGCACAGCAAGAAATCTGCACGTACTCGATCGCATCCTCACTCACTTCAATGCAACTAAAGTGGCCGTTGAGTTTAGAATGAGCAACAGAAGCATGGGCATCAGCGCAGCACATCTATCAAACCAGCTTGCAGGCCCGGCCCTGGGCAAGGGCAGGCTGGGCCCTTGCCCTGGGCCCACACTTGGAAGGGCCCCCTTGCTATCCCATTATCTTTTCTATATATAATATACTGTAAATATTTCTTATAATAATTTACTATAATAATGTTTCGTAGAATTGAAAGGTGTTTTAGCTGGTAGAGCTTGTTGTTTTTATGCGCAAGGTCAATGGATCGAAACCATTTATATGTAGTTTTACATTAGGATTTCTCTCCTTACTAAAAATTAATTTAGAGATATTATTATTATACATAGTATTAAAATTGTAACTTTTTTTTTTAAAACTATTAAAATTGTAACTTATGGCCCCATCACCGGGGTTTCAACCTATGACCATGACCATCAATTTATATATACAATGATAATTGGAATGCCATCACACTACCTGGTAACTTTTTAAATTTATTTATATTTCAAATTTGTATTTTATTTAATTTAATTTGTAACTTTGTGATTTTTTACCTTTCTATAATTATAGTTAGATTTGTGATTAATATCAAATTTTGAATCAATTTCTATTCGAGTATTTTACTACTTATATTTAAAATATGTGTTATTTTGTGAACTTTATAATGAGTTATTTATATGTAATATATTTTGTGATTTAGTTATGAAAAATATTTTAAAAGGTAGTTTAGTTGTTTTTTTTTTTATTTTTATGAATTATCTAGTCAATGTCCTTTCAAAAAAAAAAAAAATCTAGTCAATTTAGTTTAGAAGTCCTATTGTGCGTCATCGTATTCAGATTAATCTAGAAAATTTTGAAATTGATCTAACTAAAAGAAAAAAAGTATTTATAAATTTGATATCAATATAGAAGAAGTGTGATTTATGATGTCTTTTTTATTCTAACTATTTTATCTAATTAATTATGTTTCATATTTTATTATGAATATCTATCTTTTATCATGTTTAGAGTATTTTGATTTATTATTCCCAATAACTAAGATTTATTATGTCTTTTTTATCACATTTAGAGTATTTTGATCTATTATGTCTTTTTTATTCGAACTATTGTGAATTATTTGACAGTAGTACTTTTTGTATTTTCACCTTATTTAATTTAAATTTTAGTTATAAAAATATATATTAATTTAATATAGGGCTCATTTTTATTGCTACGCCCTGGGCCTATAAAATGATAGGACCGGGCCTGCCAGCTAGTAATCCCTGCAAGAGCAGTCCGCACCTCATGGCTTGCATTGGCCACCGCCACGCTCTTCTGTGGCTTCCTTCTACTTGATCAACCCTACTTTTACACACATCTCCCTCATCATTATTCTGCAGATCAACTGTCTTATCAACCATGGGTACATACACATCAGGCTGGCCGGTCTGCCCATTTGGAGAGGCATAAATGCATGCATGGCTAAAGGGACTGCACATTAATCTCGATAGAAGAAGTAAATTGAGAGATGTGTAAATGGTAAGCAAATTAAAACTCACTTTCTCTTGAACCGGAAAGAGCTTCCAATTCTTGGGAGATTCAATCTTGATGGATGCTGGCTTCTTCACGCTCATGCTGACGCTGACGCTACCATCCTCTGGGATTGTCTTCTCCTCCTCGACAGGAGTCATCCTGTGCGAGCCATTGCGGACCATCTGATTAAACACCACACCAAATTAGATAACATCACAAAAATCTATCAGAGCTCACAACTATATATGGATAATCAGGTCGGAGTCTGGGTCTTTAACGGTGCAAAATTTCGTCTTTTGTATATCAGGGTGCAAGTGCCACCCAAGAAATCTTGTAATTTGCTCATAAAAAATAAATAAAAAATAAATAAATAAATAAATAACAGTTCAGAATTTATAAGACAAAATGTTCTTGATTTTAATTAACACATAAATCAAGAAAATGGTACAAGAACCTTTAAAGAAAAAGGTATTAGCTAGCTAGTTTCTAACAGACACAAAAACACAAACGTATGTACGCATTCGGCGATAAGCTTACGTTAATCTTAGCAGTGGTCTTGGGGTCAAGGAATGACTTGACAGTGTTTTACAATAGCCTAAATCCTCTCTACTTATCCGTGACTTTCGTAGGAAATTTTCATTAAAAAAAAAAAAAATCCAACGAAAAAAAATAAAAAAAGATCCCGATCCAGTTAATAGACATGCAGGAGCGCGGCCATGAACTGGTCGTGGTTCACCGCCCTATCTCACTCCGGCGAGAGGCCATCGGGGATTGTGACGTAGTGGATGTCGAGGTCAGGCTTGCGGATGTCGGGGAACATGTCGTCGTTCCGACGGTTGCTCTTGGTGAGGTGGTAGTGTACAAAATCGGTGTTGATGAAGGTAACGGCGAAGCCTTTCAACGCTAGCCGACAGGCGAGGTGGACGGAGGGGGTGACGTGGCATTGCGTGCGGCTTTTGGTCGGAACCTGCCGTAGCTTGGATTATTATTAACAGTGTTTAAAAATTCTCAAAAATGTGGAAGAGAAGAAAGCATATCAAGATTGATTCTTGGGGGTTGACTTAAAAATTTGGTCATTGACTTAAAAAAAATGTCCACATCAACTAATAACATGTGTCATGGCATCATAGTAACCTGGAAACCTATAAAAAAAATTAGGTGAAACAAATTTAATGGTTTGTGGATCAAAATATCACTTATGAAATATTAGGGTGCGGGATGAAGAATTCGTTATATTTCTTGGTACAGAATGACACTTTGCCTTATAATTATGAAAATTATTGTTTGGCAATTAGAATTAGAATCCAATTAAAACAATAAAACAAGTTAGTATGTTACCCTATACATTAATTATGTCCTAATTATATTGATTGGAAGCTTAAGATGCAATCTCATGATTTCATCTACAAGAGTGGTCTCACATGATCTCACCCATATATATAATCACTACCTCAGCGGCTCAGCCCTCATTAGTTGTCTTCTTTTCCTCACGTAGAACTATAAACTCTAAACTCTAAAGCCATAGCTAAAGCTTCTTCTTCCCCTCACGTAGTCGCCACTTGTTGCTCCATAGCTAAAGCTTCTTCTTGCCACTCCACTCCATATTTGCGACGACGACAATGACGGTGTACTTCACGTACGTAGAGCAGCGGCAGCAGTACGACGAGTCAATGGTGACGGCTTCTTGCTAGCAGCACAGCGAATGTGACGGCTTCTTCAATCTGTTTTCTTTCTAAGCTTTCAGCAGTGGAGGACGACAAGGTAGCAACTCCGGCAACAACAGGGCGCGACTCCGACAACTTCTTAATTTATTAGAGAACTTGAAAAAAAATAATTTAAGGTAGGCATTTCGAATATATTCGAATAATGTAGCCAAATCGTATACGAATAAAATTTAGGATTCGAATACAAATATGAATAAGAATAGTTCTTAAAATTATCGAATTCGAATTTAATAATAAAATATTTGACTCGATCCGATTCGTTTACCCCTTATTAGCAGGGTTAGTGACGCTAGACTCAACAATACACTTTAATGTGATTCCAACTGAGTGACTTTAGCTATGACTCAACAATACACTTTAATGTGATTCCAACTGAGTGACTTTAGCTATCAATGTTTATATAGCATGTATGTCAAAGCATAGAGCCTCTTGACTTACAGTCAAATCCTCCGTGCTCTTCTCCAAAGCTTCAACTCGGGAGTCCATACGTGTCATAATTGGTGGTAGGTCAAACCAATTTGTTGGAGTAAAGAGCAGATGAGGAAACAAGCACAAATAACATGATTACAGTGAATGAAACCAACAATGACACAAAAAGAGTATCTCTAACAAAAACAATTCTTTGGACAACTACAACATCTACCTGATCGAACCATAAGAAGTGGCAAAACTCCATAGCTTACAGCAATTACCAGTTAATCAGATCTTCGAGAGCCCAAACTCTAACTCCCCGCCCCGCCCCATTGTCATCCCTAGTTTGGATGTTCTGAATAAATAGGATTACTTTAGACCTAATTGGGTATACCATCCACCATTGGGAAAGAAGAAATTTTCAATTAACAGTCTAAAAAACCAACAAATTAACATAAAGTAAAACAACATAATAAAAGACTGCTAAAATAACAATTTAAACCTCAGGAAAACCATATCAGGCAATTCTAGGCATACAACCATGCAATGTACTCTTATCTACCATTTAATGCACAACTTTATATTTCTGATTGTGGTAAAATGACACTGAAAAAAAGTAAGAACCTTCCAGCAGAAAATATTACCAAACACCAGATTCATGACTGCAATTGCCATCCTATAGAAGAGAAAGAAAGGGCTTATATACCCTGGCCCCACCATTTTAATTTATTATTTCCTCATCATCCACACAACACAGAACAACATAATCCCTTCCAATGACTTGCAAAATGAAACAAACAAATTAGACAGCCTAGCATTTAGAATATAACATGAGATCAGAAAACCATAAACTCATTAAATTTCTAACAAAGGATAAGCACAAGACATTCCAAAAAGTCCCAAATCCCAACTTGCCATTGGCTAGAAGTCTCTTCTATCTTCATCTTTCAACACCCAAAAAAAAGACATGTGAGATTCAATCTCTATGATGGTGACTCATGACATTAGTTATTAGAACAGAATCAACACTCCACTTCCTACTTCACTAGGAACTGGTAACAATTCAAGAATGAGATTTTATTACTGCAAAGAAGTAATTTTTTCCACAAAGTTTCCAAATCTCTAATGCAACTGAATTACTTAGAATGTCTTTTTTTTTCCTTGGGAAAAATCTAATCTGCCTCCATCTAAATCAAGTAAATCCACCCTCCATACCAATTAAGTACAACACATGAGGAAAGATAATACAAGTGGTGGTGGATAGGCAGAATTTATTACTAACAGTGATAAGAGGTGCCATTGCCATTGACATTAGAAGTACGGTTTTGAGCTGTCCTCAAGCTAGGTCCTGAATCCCGTGGTCTCTTCTTCACCATTGGATCTTCATTGTCCATCATGTTCGCTAAATCTCGGCCAAACATCTCCACAAATGTCCTCTGCAAATCCTCAAGACTTTCCTCCTCCTGTAACCAAATAAAATTAACTTCAAGATTCATTCAAGTTCTTATATTGCAGACTACACAAAAATTGAAACATGTGCTCCATCTCATCTAGAAGCCTAAGCTGATAGTTGATTGCACATCACAATGAATACCTGGGTCCCAACATTTTGGTCCATCATGTTTATCAAATCATGCAGGAAATCACCCATTCCCTGTTTCACAATTTACCCGAATGTCAGGGGCAAATCAGTACTGACGAAAATAAACCAAACTCTAAAACGCTGTCGTACACAAAGAATCTTCTTGAGATAAAAATCTGGGAATATTTTATTATTAAAAAAAGAAAAGTAAACGTTTAATTAAAAAAAAAAAAAAAAAACGCACTTCGTCTTCTTCAAGCAGATCAAGGAATCCAGCGTCGTACATTGACCGCTTCCCTTGATCGGAGAGCACTGGCAACAAAAATTAACGGAAATTAACATCGTCAAAGAATTCCCGTTCAAACACACATGCATTCATAAATTTGATGTTATTATCATTATTATTAATTATTAATTATTAATTTTGCTATTACTGTATTATTATATAACCTGAATAAGCCTCCTGGATTTTCTGAAACCGCCGCTTCGCTTCTCCGGCCACCGTCGGGTTCTTGGCCCACCTATCCGGGTGCCACTTCTACTCCGCCGCACAACATCAAACACAAAAGTTGAGTTCATGCGCACACATAAACATTGAAAAATTGCACATTGAAATCTTTTTCTTTTTAGGAAAAAAAAAAAAAGAAAAATTAAGAACCCTTCCGATGAAGTACCAGAAAAACAAAAATTAAGAATTCTTGGGATACAGTACCAGAGCGAGCTTGCGATAAGCTGAGCGAATATCCGAGGAGGAGGCATCGCTGCGAATCCCAAGAACGGAGTAGTAGCAAGATCCGCTGGATCCTGCCTCCCGATCCATGCAAGCTTGAATTCTCAACAATGGAGTCTAGTAAAACTCCTGTACCTCTACAGATTTTTGTATGCAGGTACAGAGTCTACAAAGGAGAAATGAATTCGATTAAACCATAGATATATATAGAGAGAGAGAAATCTATCATCTATCAAATCAAAAAAGTGTTAAAACTGGTGGAAATGTTTAGAGAGAGAAACGTATGGAGATGATTTTTGGTTCAAATATCTTTGCAAGAAATAGAGAGAAGAATGTTCCAGAGATATGTACCTCCAAAGATATTTTCTGGTGGGTTTGTGAACTGACCTTGTCGTTCTATGAAATTACAGAGATTGCCACCGACACGACACTTGGTTGTTGCCTTGTTGGCCTTGAGTAGCGGCGCGCCAGCGCGTGCACCACAAAGAAAATGACAATTACTTCAACTACTCTCCAGTATTCATCTAAAGTTCTAAACTCTATTGAGCGTTTGGTTCGCCGAAAAATATTTGAAAAGAATTAGAATTAAAATTTAATGAAAAAATATATATTCCATTGTTTGATAGATTTTATAATGTTTGGTTAAGTTTAGAATTATAAAGAATAACGAGTATAAATATAATTATATTTTTACATAATAATAACAACAATAATAATAATGATAATTAAGAAAAAAATTGGTAAGCACATAATTGTCCTACTTATTTTCCATAAAAAAACAAAATACTAAGAGGGACCATGGAAAATGTTTTTCTATTTTTTAAGAAAATATTTTCCATTTTTCATTAACCAAACAAAAAAAAAAAAATCTAGTTTTGTTCAAATTCATGTCTTAATAGAATTTCAATACATTGCTTTCTATTTTTAAGTTATTTACATTTTGTGGGCTCTAAAGAATATATCATCATTGCTCGTAATTCAATGGTTCAGTGGGTAGTATTTGAAAGAAGAATATATCATCATCAAAATTTATAGAGAGCAAATAAATTTTGAAAGTAGAAATAGCATTTTCTTTTATATTATCTCACATAATGTAGTGTAATATAATATATTTTTTTATATTCAAATTTTTAACTTTGTGCGAACTATAT